AGTGCTTTGAGATCAAGTGATCAAAAGCTCTATGGAAGAACTACAGATCATTCTTATTCTGGAATATTGACAGTTACCCAAATTATTCTAAAAGGGGGCTCAATGAGACCACTGAATGTACATTCTGAAGCAGGCTCTGCCAACAGGCTTTTCTGTTAATAGTCAGTGCATCTAGAACAGCATTTGTAGATAATTAATTATCTGAAGCCTCAATCTGCCTGATATGCACTCAGAATACCTTCAGGCGATTAAAGATGGAAAGAGTATCCTGCGTTAATATGCAGTGAACTAGAGGTGAATTTACAGTGCACTAACTCCCTGCATCAGTCTTAATGTGCACTAGATCCAAAGTACTCAAGTGAAGCAAAGAGAAGTGAGCAAGTTTGCCCAAAGAGTGCAATTATAAGAGTGCATTTAGTGCAAAGTAACTAATGTGCAGTGACTTCACTTTTCTATGGAGACAAGCCCTGGGTCTTTGCCCAATTGTAGCTTCTTCTGGCAGCCACAAAAGCAAAGAAGAAACACCATTCATCTTCATTTGAATTAGAAACTTAATTAGCAGCAGCACTCTCTTTTTAATAGTGCCCCAGTTCATAAAGTGCTTTGGTACCCTTGGATGAAGTGCAAATGTTGATCCGTATCCCTTATAATGCTTTCCAGTCCTTTTGAAATAGGGAGAAGTATTATCATTGCCTTCAGAAATGCAGAAACTGAAGCACAGAAAATTCAAGTGATCTAGCCCAAAAGAATCGGCATAGTCCAATGAGCAAGGCTCTTAAGTGAGAATCACAAGATCTAGCTCTACTCCTGACACTGACCTGTTTTATGACCTTGGCCAAGTCACCTCACCTTTCTGTTTTCCCTCCCACCCTTTGCATGCAGGTTCTTCCAGGCAGGGACTATTTGTTACTATTTGTAAAGCACCCAGTAGGAGAGAGTCCCTGATGGGCCCATTACCTTTATTAGAATCGCTACAAGTTATTGCAATGCAAATAATAAACATACAGGCAGTTTTTCTGCAAAATACAACCACATACATTTTTCTCATACTAGTAGCCTTCATTCCCAAAACAACTTCAAAATTGCTCTAATTTGGTTAGAGGAGTTTTACATAAGTGGTTGCTTTTCAAAACACTTGCTGGATAAATGTAAGCTTCACTCCTGAAGGTAAATCATGAGCCCTGGTGTGATTAAAATGGTTAACAACAACAACGCCTTGCATTTTATCAAGCATCTTACTTCTGAGGCTCTCCCCATGCTCTGTGGAGACTGTAAAATCTCAACTATTTAATAATTAAACTTTCTCACTTCAAGAAGATCTCACTTACTTTTCCTCATTGTTGCTTGTTTCTATCCTCTGCACAATACTCAGGGCATAAAACTACAGTGATTCTTTTCACTCGTTCAGCTTCATCCTGCAGTCTTTATTCCAGCAGATCATCAGGACTCTTTGTGTTGGGATGGCTTTAATAATTTTAATGAATCAATTCTAGAGGCCCCAAGAGAGATTGGATCTTTATCATGCTAGGTGATACTCTTACATGTAGCACAAGTCCTTCCTTGCCCAAAAGGTAATAATTTAGGCAGACAAATAGACACACAAAGATATGGGGTAACTTCCCGAAGGCCCTGGAGCAGGTAAGTAGCCAAACCTGGCATAGAAGATCTCCTGAGACCTAGACTTGTTGATTGGTGCATGCTGCCTTTACAGGCTTGTATTTGAGATGCTGTATAAAGCAAATTGGAAAGTCTTCCTAGTGTCTCCAGGAAATCATCTTAAATCTTGAACCATGAGGCAGCATGGCCCATAGACAATAAGATACAGCAGTGAAAGATGCCTATGGAATATTCTATAGACAGAGAGATGCAGAGAGATTTGATTACCCTTATCTTTGCCTGCAGAACTACTCTTGCCATTTAATGCAAGATAACTGAATTCCTTTTTTATCCCCTTGATAATTAAGACTTCAGGAAAATACAAGGTGAACTTGTCCATGTTGCCTTTCTAATGATGTCAGCTGAGAATAAGATAGGATCTGTTAACATATTGGAAGGAAAGACAACTGTCTTTTAACCTGTTTTGGTCAGATTTTTGGCTACTGGGACTTAGCAAAGCACCGCCAGCCCCAAAAAAGACAATTTTGGAACCACGGTGGAAATTGTCTGCCCATAACAACTCTTAGCCCCCAAGCTGAAGACAGAAAAATGTTAAAGATATCTTCACTATTATAAAGATAATATACATGTTTTCATAATTTCAGTACCCAATAAATTACTTCAGTGTTGTTTTATATTATAAGTTTCACAAAAGTGTCATGTGAAAATTATTCTTAGTTAAGTTGTGGGTTATTAAAACCTTGGTGTACAATTGATGTATAAAAGTAACAGACCAGATTCAGCACATAGGTAAATGGATGCAAATCTGTGGAAGCCAGTGGACTTCTACCCTTTTAATTCATATCTGCTATTATTCTAATAGCATAATGAGAATTTTTTTCTTCCTTACCTTCATACATTGAACCACAGCTGGTATAGATGAAGGCCTATCCATTGCCTTCAGTGGAGTTATGCAAGTTTACACCATTTAAGAATTCATCCCATTGATTCCAAAGACAAATACAGTCACCTGGGAAACCATAAAGTCCATCTTTTATCACAGAAGACTTCATAACACAGAGGAAAAATGTGGTGCCAATGTTATTCAAAGCCGATGGGACACAATTCAAAAATTCTAGTGGACTATGCCATTATTTTGTAAACTCCTAATTAATCTTCTCATGAAAATGTTTATAAATGCTGATTTCTAAACTGTTTATCAAACTGATAAAACATGTGACAATGTTTTTTAAATTCCATTAACAGTCTGTAAGATGTCTTATTGTTTCCTTCCAAATTAGTCGATTTTTATTATTTCCAATTAATACTCTCAATACTGCCCTTCTCACCAATCAATATTTTCACCTTTCAATTGTTATTATTTATATCACACATTTACTATGATCTTCTAGTGAAAAGCATCATGCAGTATAATTTATACAAAAAATAACCACCTAAAATGAAGTTGTGTATTGGAAAACCTTTCTGTTGCCCCAAATCTCCAAATATTTATGCATATGTGTAATTTTACTCCTGAGTTAAATCTGAGTTCAATAAGACTAATGAATTGGGTAAAGTTACTTACACGTACAAGTGCTGGCAGGATCAAGTCTTAGGTTTCTGCAGGAGTAAATGGATGTAGAGTCTGATTTGCAGAGATATGGAACCTCCATATCTCCTATTACATTTATGTTTTTTTCTGAAAATCAGGACCATACTGATAATCTCATGATAAACTCAGTAAAGTTTCTCACAAGTATAACTGCAGCAGGATCAAACCTTCAGTTTCTGCAACTGGAGATTCAGAGGTGCTGAGCACCCAGCGGCCCTAGCAGATGCATAGTGCTAAGCATTTCTGAAAAATCAGGGAAGCAGATATTATCAAACTCATTCAGATGCTTTGCCTTGAATAAACCCTCCATGGCACTGGTGAACCAGCCTGGTTGCAGTCATTCACATGAATTTCTAGGGATGGGATGGTTCGATAAACACATTTGAGGTATACATGCTTGGCAGAACTCTGCTACTAGAAGTCTGTAAAATTCTTAGTTGATTGTGTCCTGTTTTGGGCCCCCTCTACAGAAAGGATGTGGACAAAGTCCAATGGAGGGCAACAAAAATGGTTAGGGGGCTGGGGAACATGACTTCTGAGGGAACTGGTCTTAGTCTGCAAGAGAGAAGACTGAGAGGGGATTTGATAGCAACCTTTAACTACAAAGAGGATGGAGCTAGTGGTAGCAGATGACAGAGCAAGGAGCACTGGTCTCAAGTTGCAGCAAGGGAGGTTTAGGTTGGATATTAGGAAAAACTCTCACTAGGAGGGTGGTGAAGCACTGGAATGGGTTACCTAGAGAGGTGGTGGAATCTCCATTGGGGGGAGGGGGCGGGTTTAAGGCCTGGCTAGACAAAGCCTTGGCTGAGATGATCTAGTTGGGGATGGTCCTGCTTGGAGCAGGGGGTTGGACTAGATGTGACTTCCTGAGATCCCTTCCAAGCCTCATTTTCTATGATGCCTCAACCCTTCAAAGCTATACAGAGGAGCTAGCATTTGTCAGAGGAAAGCACAAGGAAGGACACTATTTTGGGGGTTCAAACTGCATAAAGCATGTTGTAGTTAATTTTATTGTACCCAAGAAAGAAATAGTCAAGCCAGAGCTCTGGCCAGAATCATTTGCTGTTGAGGAACAGGGGGTGTTTTATTATGGGCAGTTTTGCACAGCAATAGGTAAAAGAAGTCATGGGTCAGGATGCAGGGGGGCTATAGGGGCACAAGGGAGGCAAGTGGGTTTAAATGGGAGACAAGTCTCTCATTTCTCTCAAAAGCCCAGCGCTAAATTC